CTGACGGCAAATGAGAAAGCAATCGTTATAATACTTTTTGTATACATTTAATTCCTTTGTTTAACAGTTCTATCTGATTATTAGATAGACTTCTATCCGTATTAGAAAGAACTGAACGACGACAACGAACAAGAGGGAGAATGTGAGCACTGTGTGCGTCAAATAAAAGTCCGGTGCGCCATCAAAATAAAAGTCCCGCCTCGAATGCATCTGCCAAACAGAAAAACTTATCGGCCGATGCCGATATTTGAAAAATGACATATATCGGCCGATGCCTATATTTGAAAAATGACATATATCGGCCGATATATCGACCTTGGTGATATATCGGCCGATGCCGATATTTGAAAAATGACATATATAGGCCGATGCCGATATTTGAAAAATGACATATATCGGCCGATGCTGATATTTGAAAAATGACATATATCGGCCGATATATCGGCTTTGGCGATATATCGGTCGAAAACTATTTATGAGACAGATTTGCCTAGAAGTGTGCTTCGGGACAGTGTTGTGCTCAGCTCGATAGAAACGATGCTGCAAGCGATTTGACTGCGACTCGTCGTTGATCTTGAGGTTTTGTCCTGCTGTTGTTTTCTCTCTCTGATCATTAAGGGATAGTTTGTGTGTTTGTTCTTGACCGTTCACACATTCACACATATACATCCTGGAGAGAAGCCAGCACAAAGTGCCAGAGGAAGCCCTCAAGGTAGATTTGACTCTTATTTATATCATCTCTGTATTCCTGCGTGTTCATAGGAATATTCTGGCTTATTTATGCTGTTTGTTATCGTTAGTTAATAAAATATTATTTCCTGTTAGCTCAGACCCGTCAAATATTAAAATCAAAAGTTGTAATATAGTTATAACTAATATAGTTGATACTGATGTTAACCTTATCGTAAAATGTTACCAAAAGCAGAAATGTGCTGCTTGTATTTTTGTCAAAGTACTTTTTGTCAAAGCATGATTTTTTTTCAGTAAAAATATTTATTTCCTCTCTAGTGTAATAATAGTAATAATAATAATATAGACAATTAATTTATTATTAGTAGTATTATTACATTTATTTAATAATATTGTTAGAATTATTAAATTGTCTAAATTAATGTATAAATTATATTTATACTAGTTAATAATAATAATAATATTAAAATGTCAGTTTATTTTTATTATTATTATTATTAAACTAAAATGTTTCATGTTAAATATGTATTATAATATTATTATTATTACAATTACTGGTATTATCGTTGTTGTTGTTATTAAATTGTCTAAAATAATATTTTGAAATTAACGTTACTTTTTTTAGGTAGATGAAATGCATTTGTATTTATACTTGCGTTTATAGACATGAAGTTGTAAATAACTCAGAATAATCTAAATTGTTTGAGTTGATTATTGATGCATTGGTTGTTGTTGTTTTTTTTGCATTTGTGATACAGTAGTTGTGTGTATGTGTGTTGAGAGATTATATAAATGTATATTTTATTCTGAATTCAGCATGAAAAATACACCAGTCAACTTCAGCTGGGTCAAGAGACGCCGGAAACCAAGAAACGCATTCAGACAGATGAGAGACGGCGAAACTCAGACGCTTTAGGTGTCAAATCAGACAAAAGCGAGCGGAAAATCAACACAGGTGACATGAAGCTCCTGTATTTATGAAACACTCCAGTCAACATGAAATCAAAATGAACCGTCTTCACTTTTTTAACTCTTGTGCTGGACTGAAAATCCTTTACCTAATTTGGTGTTCCCAGTCAAAAATATCCGGAATTTAAAAAATTTCTCATTATATTATATCCTCACCAAATCTTGGATTCAATCTTTTTATCGGCTTGTTTTCTTTGAGTTCACGCAGGTTTTGTATTTCTTTTTGGAACCGATTGAGCTGATCTGATCATGCATCTCAGTTTTTGAGTAAAAAAGTATTATTTGTGGATAATTTTGGCAATGTTCACTCAAAAACGAAATGAATTTTGAAAGAAAACTAATTGAACAGCACTACTAATTGAAAGAAAACAAGTTGATAAAATGATTGAATGCAATATTTGGTGGTAATAATTAATCGACTTATATTATTATAATGCATTACTTAAAGATTTAAAGAAAATTTAACATTTTATTGTATTGTATTTTTATTGTAATCTATTTATTTTATTTATTTAATAAAACAAACAAATGTTAACAAAATCTCTGTAATATTGCATGGCAAGAAATTTATAAGCAATTTTTTGTAAGCTGGTCATTTTTGACCGGGAACATGTTTTTCATCATAATTTAATAACTTTCTCCACTTCTGAAACGACTTCAACAATCTGTAAAATAGACACTTTTCACCATTCAAAAACTCTATTGGACAAAATTAAGTTCTGCTTTTTTCGTTATTGAATAACCTGTTTTATTTGGAAATGTCACGTTACATAAGTAAAAAAAAAATTGGTTATGAAAGTTGTTTCATGTTGACTTCAGAAACAAGGCGTGCAACCCTTGAATTTATCACCTATTTCTTTTAGAAAAAGTTTAATTGTTAGCTAGTTCTTGGCATTACTTCCACAAGACCATGCCATGCTGACCTTACCTGACTTTAAGCCACAGATTAAATGTAATATTTTATTATTGCAAAGCAAACTCCTCATATTTTGTCTCGTGCACAAATTTCTGCAATTAATTCAATGTGAAACACTATTCAGAGTTTGTGTTATAGATAATTTCAGTCTTCGGTTTGTGCAAACTTTATACTTCAGAAATTAAAGTTTTTCATTGATAAAATGTTCAGCACGCAAAGTCTGGCCAACATTGATGATATCTGTGTAATATTTGCATAGTTGCCGAATTACCTTACAAGCGCTGTTGTTTCTTTCAGGAAGTGCAGGTCTAGTTTGAATATTGCTGGCATTTAAATGACTGATGATAAAAAAAACATATCAAGGAACACAAAATGAATCCCCGTGGCTCCTGACGATATATTGAGATCTTATGAAGCGGAACGATCCGTCTGTGTGAGAAACTGAACATTATTTATAATATTAATACCTGTAATCCAGAGCCTCGGGCAAACGGGGAAATACGATTCTTTTCCGCGAACTGATTCTTTCGGACTGTTCGTTTCAATGAACTGATTCTTTCGGACTGTTCGTTTCAATGAACTGATACTTTCGGACTGTTCGTTTCAATTAATTGATTCTTTCGGACAGTTCGTTTTAATTAACTGATTCTTTCGGACAGGTCGTTTCAATTAATTGATTCTTTCGGACAGTTCGTTTCAATTAATTGATTCTTACGGACAGTTCGTTTCAATGAACTGATTCTTACGGACAGTTCGTTTCAATGAACTGATTATTTCGGACAGTTCGTTTCAATGAACCGATTCTTTCGGACAGTTCGTTTCAATGAACCGATTCTTTCGGACAGGTCGTTTCAATTAATTGATTCTTTCGGACAGTTCGTTTCAATTAATTGATTCTTACGGACAGTTCGTTTCAATGAACTGATTCTTACGGACAGTTCGTTTCAATGAACTGATTATTTCGGACAGTTCGTTTCAATGAACCGATTCTTTCGGACAGTTCGTTTCAATGAACTGATTCTTTCGGGTGGGGGCGTGTTAGAACGAGCCGTTTTAGGTAGGCGTGATTGACTCTGAAATTTTATAAAGAATATCTCTTTGGATTTGAGACTTTAGTCTTTGCAACTTTACAGATCTTCTTTATGCACCAAGAGCTTGTAACACTCCAAAGAGAAAGGAAAAATTTTAATCGCAGAGGGAGCATCGAGCAAAATATTACTAATGCACGTTTATTCAAAGCATAAGATAACATGACTATCTGTGGAAAAAAGTGCATAGTGTTTAAAATAATGTTTATAAACCAATTATAATTAGTTAAGTTGCTTAAACGACTATAAACAAAACAGCATCATGTATGTATTAAAACAAGATCTTCTCCGCATTGATGTTCTCTTTTTCTGCAATATTTGTAATTAACAACGCAGCAGCGCCGCATCTAGTGGCTTCAACTGGATAGGCTAACAAACACATTATAATGCAGTGACACTTGCATCGTCATCGCATCTCGTGCGCCACTGATGAGACTGCCTCCTTAACGCACACCTAAAATGTGGATTTTTATTTTAAATTCGACGAATATTCGAAATTCGAATTTTTTTTTGACAGCCCTACTTCGCGTGTGTCTTCATGCGCACAAGAGCTTGCGAAGTCAATCAGCACCATTACTAGTGCTCATACTGAGGGCTAGCTATGTGATCAAACCTCTACAAACCCAAACCGTCAGTGAACATTTGTTTAGTGCTCTTAAAGAGGGATAATGTTGCTCATGGGAAAATGAGGTGTTTCACGGTTGGATGAACTGGAAGGCCTGAATCATCCAGTGAAAACAGATTCTGAATGTGTTTGTAGATGATGTGAATTTTCCAAACTGTTGTTCACAAGGGAACTAAAGGTTGTTCATGAGTTGCAGTGTTATTTTAGTTATTTTGCAGTGTTGTTATTAATAATATTTTGAGATACTTTTAAATTGAGTTATTTTATATTTGTATTTTTTTATGTAATTTGTAGTAGTTTTTGTTTTTCTATGTCTATATAGTTTTAATTAATTTAATTAATTTTTATTTCAGTTTTAGTTGTTTTGGTACTTCAAGTGAATAGCGGTGTTATTTTAGTTATTTTGCAGTGTTGTTCTTAATAATATTTTGAGTTATTTTATATTTGTATTTTTTAATTTTTTTAATGTAATTTTTAGTAGTTTTTGTTTTTCCATGTCTATATAGTTTTAATAATTTTTTTTTATTTTTTATTTCAGTTTTAGTTGTTTTGGTACTTCAAGTGAATAGCAGTGCTATTTTAGATATTTTGCAGTGTTATTAATAATATTTTGAGATTTTTTTTAATTTTTAGTTATTTTATATTTGTATATTTTATTTAATTATTATGTAATTATTAGTAGTTTTTGTTTTTCTATATGTCTGTATAGTTTTAATTAATTTTTAAAAAAAAAATTATATTTCAGTTGTAGTTTTTTTTTTTTTTTTTACATCAAGTGAGTAGCAGTGTTATTTTAGTTAATATTTTAGATAATATTTTGAATTACACATTATTGTTATATTTTCGGTTTTCATTTCAAATTTGGTAAAATATTTAGGTTTTTTTTGTAATTCTTAAGTGTTATATATGTGTGTGTGTGTGTGTGTGTGTGTGTGTGTGTGTATGTGTGTGTATATATACATATACACACAAAAAAACAATACATTTTATAAAGCTTTAAAATGCATGAGTTTTGGATTTTTATTTATTTGTATCAATAAAAATTTATTTGTTTTATAATTTGTGTTCATTATTATTAAATTGATTTTTAATTTGTTTTGTATGTTTTTTTTTTCTGTTTTTTTTATATTAGAATTTTTATTTATTCTGTTTTTTTTTTTCTTTATTTCTAAAATAAGTAGTACCGGTTAATTTCATTCATTTAATAGGTTAACGTAAGATCTCAGGGGTATTATTTCAGCTGACAAAATTTTGGAAATCCCAGGCGAAGTAGATAAACATGTTTTTAAAAAATGTTTTGTGAAAGCTAACAGTAAAACCTCAAAACTTCAGAATGACTTCATGAGAAATTTCTGTCCTGAACTTCCTCTGGTTTCTGGTCCTGCCCAACTGACTCATGGGATTGAATCATGCTTTAGTGCTTTTTTCCTACTTCTGTACTCCGTTTTAATGCTAAAGTTTCTTTACACTGGAGTCAGAAACTGTTGCACGCGGTTGTCTTTGACCCTTCTGTAGTGATTGCTGTTTGTGTCTGTGGTGTTAAATGACACACGAATGACACAAGGGTGCAACATAATAACTTGTTCCATCGTTCTCTCTGTTGATATTAAACACTGTCGTCGTGGCAACGTTTTTTTTTTTCTTTATTTCTAAAATAAGTAGTACCGGTTAATTTCATTCATTTAATAGGTTAACGTAAGATCTCAGGGGTATTATTTCAGCTGACAAAATTTTGGAAATCCCAGGCGAAGTAGATAAACATGTTTTTAAAAAATGTTTTGTGAAAGCTAACAGTAAAACCTCAAAACTTCAGAATGACTTCATGAGAAATTTCTGTCCTGAACTTCCTCTGGTTTCTGGTCCTGCCCAACTGACTCATGGGATTGAATCATGCTTTAGTGCTTTTTTCCTACTTCTGTACTCCGTTTTAATGCTAAAGTTTCTTTACACTGGAGTCAGAAACTGTTGCACGCGGTTGTCTTTGACCCTTCTGTAGTGATTGCTGTTTGTGTCTGTGGTGTTAAATGACACACGAATGACACAAGGGTGCAACATAATAACTTGTTCCATCGTTCTCTCTGTTGATATTAAACACTGTCGTCGTGGCAACAGTGTCCGTGCTGCGGCTTGCTTTAACCCGCGTGACTGGTTATCTCTGACAGACAGTAGCTGTAGATTAAACCAGCGGCTGCCAGTTTAGATTGTAGCGCCGCTGCCAGTCTGCTATTTGCTAAATTACTGTTGCTTTTCTAGGGGCTTCAGGCCAGACAAGCATAATGTGCATGAGAGTTTTGCCTAACATTTCATTTGGTTTTAAATTAAGCTGTTGTGCTCGCCGGCACTGAAGTTTGTAATTATTTAATTATTTGATTTTTTATAGTTTTTTTTTTTTTTATCTAGTATTTAATTGATTTGTTTTGTATATATTTTTACATTTTTATTTTTTGTATTTTTCTAAAGAAATGTCACTGGTTCATTTTATTTTTATGATTTTTTTTTTATTAATGTAATTGAATGATTAAATGATTTTAATTAAATGATTTTTAATGTATTATTTTGTATAGTTTTTGTATTTTTATTTGAATAGTAATTTGTTGACTTCTTTTTCTAAAATGAGTAATGTCACTAGTTCATTTCATTAATTTATTTTTATGATTTGTATTTATTTTGTGAGTTTTATTCATCTGATCATTTATTTTTAGCAGTTTTATTTATTTAGATTTTTATTAATTAACTAATAATTATAATTGTATTCATCTAATATTACATTTATTTATTTTTATATTTTTATTATTTTGTATATTTTTTTTATTGGAATTGTAATTTATTTTTTATAGTTTTTTTAATATAATGTCAGGTTAATTATTTTCATTCATTTTTATGATTTTTATTTATTTGTTTGATTTTCATTTATCTAGTATTACATTGATTTTTCATTTATTTTTTTTTGTTTAGTTTTTCTTTTAATTGGAATTTATTTATTTTTAATCTTCTTTATTTCTAAAATAAGTAATCTCACCAGTTAATTTCATTAATTTATTTTTATGATTTTTATTTATTTTGCAAGTTTTATTCATCTAATTTATTTTTAGTATTTTTATTTATTTTATGATTTTTATTAATATATTTTACTAATAATTATAAAAAATTATAATTTTATTCATCTAATATTACATTTATTTTTTTATATATATTTTTTTTTTTAAAGAAGTCAAATCAGGTTAATGATTTTCATTCATTTTCATGATTTTTTTATTTATTTATTATTTATTTTTATTTATCTAGTATTACATTGATTTTTAATTGATTCTTTTCTCTAGTTTTTCTTTTAATTGTTGTTTATTTTTAATTTCTTTATTTCTAAAATAACTAATCTCACCAGTTAATTTTTATTGATTTATTTTTTTTATTTTTGTTTATTTAGCATTACATTTAAAAAAAATTTAATTATTATTTTTAATAATAATAATATTTATTTATTTATTTTAGAAATAGTGTCATTATTTGTACTATTATTAATGGAAAGTGTCTTCTGGGATTTGATCAGCATTAATAGCAGAAGTTGTTGGTTTCATCAAACTCTTCTTTTCCCTCATCTCATGTCAGATCCGTCTGTGTCCAGACCCACTCCTCTGTACGGTCAGCCGTCCTGGTGGGGAGAGGCTGATGAAGATAAAGCTCAGCGCTGTGATCCGAGCCTTCATGAACATCATACAGGTCTGGAAATGAGTTTCCAGATGCTTTTTAAAGTGTATTAAATGTGTGGATAGGAATGCAACTGCTGGTGTGAGCTGAGAACAGAAAAATCCTGTTGTGTTGGGCGATCCTGAGGAATTCAGTACTAAACTCCTCGCTGGCGTGAGCTTTAAAACACGTCAAGACTTCAGCCTCGTGATGGATTAGCGGCCGTCTTAGTCCAATGAGAAGGTCATTGTATTTTCCCTCCAGTCTTAAGTACGTCTCAGAGTCTTCTTCAGATTAACGGGTGACCATAGAAACTTTTGTTCCACGTCAGTGGTTTTGAAGTCTTAGTTTAGTGTTTCGTTTCGTTGTTAAGCACAAACAGGAGTCAGCTTCGGTTTAGCATAAATATCTAGGCTAGATGTCAATGCTTTTATTATCCAGATATTGTTAAACACTCTTTAGACTGATGTTTGCACTTATAATTAGGGATGTAACGATTAACCGCGAGCCGGTTGAAAATCGATTCATATATGTGACGATTCATTTCGAAATCATACAATCTCATTTAGATTAAAAGCTGCTCGTGTTGCATGTAGGCAGCATCTTTGTTTGGATCATGATTAAAATGCAGTGGTTGCCTCTAATTTTAAATGGAAAGAGCACAGACAAAGCCTTAGTTTGTTTATATGAAGAGATTTCTTTTATTTGTGTTACTTATTGCATTTTGTCCAAGCAATAATAAAAGGACACATTTAATTTATAATTTCTTAAATCTCATTTTGTAAAAAAAAAAATAATCGCGAAAATCGAATCGTGAAATCAAAACCGTGAATCGAATCGTGAGTTGAGTGAATCGTTACATCCCTAGTTGGCAATAACGCAGGCAAAATTATCAAAAAAGCAAAACTGAAAAGGACAATAATGTCCAAAAGGTCGCACAAGGGTTAACAATCATTACCGCTGATGTCTTCTCACAGAAAACCACAAGGATGGTTCCAAACGTGATCTCGGCGTTTCTCCAGATGAGCTTCAGGATGGCCAGGGCAAACCCGGTTACTCTTACCGCAAGGAACCAAGTTACTTTGAGATCCCCACAAAGGAGATCCATTCAAAGCCCAAAACTGCTTCCCAGGAAGTCCAGGAGATTCCCACAAAAGACACGGACCACAAACCCCCTGCCACTCCTCCGGTGGCTCAGGGTCACGCCTCCTTCACCATCGAGTTTGACGACCAAACCCCTGGAAAGATGAAGATCAAGGACCACGTCAGCAAGCTCTCCATCCGCCAGCGCAGGAACCCCAGCAAGGAGTCGATAGCCAGACTCACGGAGGTGATGTCGGTGGAGAACAAAGTCGCTGATTGGTTGGTTCAGAGTGACGCTACTATGAGGAGGAGTCTAGACGAGCAGTCTGGGTCAGACGAGCTCTTGAACAAGACCTTCAAAGGTAAAAGACAACAGAAAATCAGTTTTGAATAGTTGGAGAGGCTATCTGAGAAATAATACGGATAAATCTGAAAATGCAGCTTTTTCCCTCTGTGTTTTGGCCTTCTGTGCACTCCGGAAATGTAGCTTTTTGAAGACGCTTTTCTTTCAAAATGCAGCTTTTGTGTAGATACACTACCGGTCAAAAGTTTGGGATCAGTAAGACTTGTAAATTTTTTAAAGAAGTCTCTGATGCTCATCAAGGATGCATTTATTTGATCAAAAATACAGAAAACTTGCAAAATGTTAATGGTTTCTATTTTAATATCCTTTAAAATATAATTTATTTCTGTGATGCAAAGCTGAATTTCCAGCATCATTACTCCAGTATAAAGTGTCACATGATCCTTCAGAAATCATTCTAATATGCTGATTTATTAATAGAATTATCAACATTTGTGCTGACAAATATATATATTTTTTTGAAACTGCGATACTTTTTCAGGATTCTTTGATGAATAAAAAGTTTAAAAGAACAGCATTTATTCAATATTCAAAATATAAATCTTTGCTATCACTTCTTAACAATTTAACTGAATAAAAGTTTTAATTTCTTTCAAAAAAAAAAAGAAAGAAAAATTTACTGACCCCAAACTTTTGAACGGTAGTGTATATTGTTAGAAAAGATTTCTATTTTAAATAAATGCTCTTCTTTTGAACTTTTTATTCATCAAAGAATCCTGAAAAAAAATCATAGGTTCACAAAAAATATTAAGCAGCTCAACAGTTTCCAGCACTGATAATAAAT